AAAAAAAAAAAAAAGCTGACTTTAATCTGTTCTGTCTTCCGTAGCAGATAGTGGGTTTTAAAGGGAAAGTCCATGAGAAATGATAATGTGAGTTCCTGAAACAATTTTCTCTGAATAAATTTGTAAATACAAGCATTGATGTRCATGATGGGCATGCATTTCTCTTGTCTGTTTGTGTGTGATGTATGTACATGTGTATTTCACATCTCCTCTCTGCAGGTTCAGAACCCTTCCTGTGTTTCCACAGCTCGGTGGTCACTTTGTGGGCCTGAATCAAAGCCAGCCTCTCTTTGTGTAACAGGGCAGAGACAACGTTGACCATTTAAATGTTGATGTTCTGATGGTGTTACACCTCAAAGAAAATATTGACAAAGGCATAGGCAAACATTGCAATATTTCTTTTGCATCCTCACAGTGCAATCAGAGCTTTAGGACAGCAGCTCCTGATGCACAGGTTCATGTGGTGCAGTCCTATAAAACCAGATCACCTCCTCCTTTATTTGGTTCCATGGCTCCACCGATGCCTCACTCTTCACTTAAAAATTCATCCTCCCAGGAGATACAGAGTTGATTGAAGTTAGTGAGTTACTGATGGCATAAAGCTAATTGAGAAGACAATAACCCTTCATTTTCTGGCTTTCTCCAGTTTGTCCCAGTTGAGGCTCTTGTACTCCAGCCATCTCAGTGCTGCAAACTCTTTCAAACACAGTCCAGGGGCTCTATCTTCCCAGGTTTTCTCTTTCATGGGTGGGAAATGAAGAGCCACAAACCAAAAGAAACCATAAAATACAGTTTCTTCAAAAGGCAGGGTGAAGGAGCTGTCGTGAGGTTTGCCACTCACTGCRTCCCTTTTGGGGCCCACAGTGGAGACTGTCACCAACAAGAAAAGGCATCCGAGGGTCTCACAGGCTTGTTAAAATTAATAAGAATTTACCTAAGAGAAAATTAGTTTTCCTGAGAATATGTGACTCACTCTACTCTTGAAAACATAGAAAAAGGATGAAGCTGATGCATCTCTGCAGAGGCTCTCGATGYTCAGATCTAAGCATTTATTTGTGGTGTTGTCAATTCAGATCTTGCAAAACTTCTAAGAGCCGATAAACTCAACACTGCATTTCTCTGAACAGTGTTGATTATACACATGCAACATGAAGAACAACAAAACCAACCATAAACACCATAATTTACAATAGTCTCTCAGTGTTCACTAACAATATTGCATTAGCAGGTGGCTTCATGTGGCTTAACATGGTGGRTGGATATGGCAGTTTTCAGGACAGAGGATGCACAGCATAAATACAGTATWTTGCTTTCACAAACACAGGATTTTCAAAACTCTAGCAATATTATAAAAATAAGAACGAAGTTTCACATGCAATTAAATACAAATAAATGGGCTAGCATTTACTGTACAATAATTCCTGACAGTGCTTTGCAGAACTGAAATTTATTTACAGTATTCTGTAAAGAGCAAATGCCACTTCAGTCAAAGCATGAAGGAAAATASAGAAGAGAGAGATGCTACTTTAAGGTAAATGCTGTGATATCCAGTGTCAAGATTTATGTGGTGTTAAACCAGCCACCAAATTCTTATGTTGGCCAAGTTTATTTTTTTTTTTTTTCAATTACAGTATCAAAATTGAGAGGCCACTTTTCAAAGAAGGGAGAAATGGCAGCTGTTTCCCATGGACAGGTTTTTAGGTGCCCACACATGGATTTGCAAAGCAGCCTTAGGTAGATTCCCGACAAGCACAGCCTTGTAGTTCCACTTCATTTATACAGGAGCAGCAGGATACAGTACAAAATAATTACTTTACAGACATTTTAAAGAATAGGCTCCAATCTTTTTTATATTCCAGTCATTTTTCACACCTGAATCTGCTTTTGACAGTAGCTGGTAATTAACTGATCCCATTTAGCAGTACTACTAATCATTACAGACTGCATCCTGCATGGCCTCTGACACCTGTTTGATCCTCCTGCAGTTTTTGATTACTGGAGGGAAACAGCCCCAAACTTAAGACACTTGAAAAACAAGATAAATAAAAGCTCTTTTCCTAACTCTGTCCTTTCATATTATTTCAATTTATCACATACTTCATCTATTAACTTTCCCAAATTGGTAATGAGGAGTTTTGCAATGACTTCTAGTGCAGAGCATCGAAACCCCGTGGGCACACACACTGTCACATGTCACAGCATGTGAACACTCTGGGGGTGAGTGTGTCTGTCTGGGGCATTAGGCAAACAGTTTGATCAAGTCTCTATTTCATAAATCTCTGGGATTGCAGCCTATCCAAGGAGGTAAGAGAGGAGGGCAGTATCAGGACAGCAACAGCACCGGTGCTGCTGGTCCAGAAGGAGYGCGCTCCCCCGGGGAGATTCCTCACACTCGCCTCTCGCAGTCCTAGTCCACGTAGCGCACACAGAAAGCCACGAAGCAGCAGCCGATCAGTGCCACCGTGGATGCCGAGATCACGGTGACAGCACTGCCAGCCACACTGACCAGGAGCCCCAGGCCAACGCCCAGAATGATCTGGGCCAGCTGGACCATGCAGGTGAGAGCAGCGCAGTCGATGCCCTTGCCACGCTCGTGCTC